GAGGACCCACTTAAAATAAAATTTATTACATGACACAGTCTCTTTATACAATTAAGAGTGCTACAGAGTGTGACAGAGAAAGACGGGGCAAAGTTTCTTCCACTTTGTATTCTCACGGAGGCCATTTTTAATATTGAGTACAATCTGACTGTCTTGATGAGAATCCCTGTGGAGAATTACCCAGGAACTACCAAGATAGGCAATTAGCTGGAGCAAATTACGTTTAAGCAAACAGTTTAACAGTAGCTAAGATAAGCTAGCTGGGCATCTTGACCTCGGCTTCCTAGAAGAGAGTTAGGTAGCTTTCCACAGGATTTCTTATCAAGGAGATCAAACTCTACAGAAGCCTAAAAAACTGGCCTCAGTAAGAATACAGGATGGAGAAACCTATTCACTGGGTCACCATGTCATTTTCCTCATTGGTTCTATGGGCATGAGTCAAATCATTTAACAGTCTTTCCTAGGAGGATTAGGCGGGCAGCGGTGGCACACGCCTTTAACCCAGCACTCCGGAGGCAGAGACAGGTGGATCTCTATCAGTCCGAGGTAAGGCTGGACCTTCAGCCTCCAAAACAATACAGAGAAAGCCTGTCTCATAAAACCAAAAAAAAGAACTGTTAGTTTAACTGTGTTTACTGTGTTTAGTGTGGTTGGTGATACAGTTGAAGATACAGGGTTCCACCATTAGCCAGATCAAGATAAGAATCGATGAGATTGCTAATTCTGACAGTAAAGTGGTCAGCTCCAGGGACCATGTAACAGAGACTGACACCAATTATCTGATCTATGTCTCCTTTCTTGCCTTACTTGAGGTTTCCTCTAATTATCCCTAATTGACAGAAATAGAAATCATGGGTTTCTCCTAAAGTTGAACATAATACTACTTGTTTCATCAAGAGAAGTCTTAAGCCTCCTTGGGTCTCCAGAATTGATTCTACTAAAGAGTCTACTTGTTTTTTCTCATCTGGATGTGGAGTTTTCTAAAATCCTTAAGTCCTTGTGGTGGATGGAATTGATATGGCCCCATAGACTCTTGTGTGTGAATGCTTGACCCATAAGTATTGGCACCCACAGAAGGTGTGTTTTTGTTGGAGAATGTGTGTCACTGTAGAAGTTGGCATTGACTGTTTTTATGCTCAATCTATTCCCAGTGTGGTACACTGTTTCCTTCTGATATATATATATATATATATATATATATATATAGTTCTTTCTCCAGCATCATGTCTCCCTGCATGCTGCCATGTTTCCCATCATGATGATAGTGACTAAACCTCTGAACTGTAAACTGGCCCCAATGAAATATTTCACTTAAAAAGAGTTGCCATAGTCATGGTGTCTGTTCACAGTGACAGAAATCCTAATGAATACCTGGTTCACTTGCTGTCTTAATTCTCTAAAGTTCGATCACTGACCTATGGCTGTTGCCTGTGCAATATTGGCTCCAACCAGAAGTGGAATGGAGAAAGATGGACTTCCCTCCTTGAGCCTTGAAGCCTGGGGTTCATCTTAAAGAGTGTTCTCTCTTCTTCTCCATAATATAGCTACACGTTGGGCAGCATTGTAAGAGTACATATTGGAGGGACTTATTGTAATGCCTTGAAGGAGGCACATTTAGTTAAACCATTTGGGATTGCCCGCCAAATGGTTCAGGGTCCATAAAGTGTTCATGCTGGTAATAACAGACCTGGATAGTGGAAGAGCAAGCATCAGAATAAAGTGAGTCTTCTAGGTCATAGGTCCTGGGCACTAGGAAGGGTCCAGCTCCCAGTAGTTCCCCCGTGGTAACTTAGGCTTTTCCCAGTTACAAATAGTTTTATTTGATGGAGCGTTGATGGTGTGGCTGGCTCTTAACCCTATGTAGTAATGGGATCATGAGTTCAGGCACAGCCAGCAGTCCTTATCAATTCCCAGCTACGAGTGTTTAAGCAAAGGTTGAACCTTGTCAAGGGTAAAGAATATAGAAGAATTAATGATTGCATTTCTCCTCTGTTTTCATGAAAAATACTTTCTAGTATCATGAACTCTAATCAGTAGGAGTGAAGGCACCCACTCATCTATTTCATATTCAGTAAGAGTTGTATATGTTGTCTTCAGCAATATTGCCTTGCCATCAGGTTGTGGACAACAACCAATAGTCTTGCCAATAGCCTGAACTGTTTGGGGTTTGATAAGATGTAACCCATTCCTGGAAATGGAAGTTCCACACAGTGGTGAAAGGTATCTAGTTGGGGAATTGTCTCTTCCATTATTTGGTGACTCCACTCATATTTCTTTCATATGTGTATGTATTTTAAGAAAATCCTACCATAGAAGGTTTCCATACAAATCCTCAAACTGCCCTTAATATAGGTTGTCATTAGTTCCCTATATTCCATACCATGACACCACATGACAGAGAAGTAGTGGGGACCACTCTCCCAAGTTCACAACTTCAAGGCAGGCTCACCCACACCTCCACCACCAGAGTTGACTCTATGAGCTGCCTGGCAAGATGTATGGCTTGGCCTCCTGTTTGCTCAAGCCAGTGAGGGACAGGAGCAGCTCTCCCACTCTCTGATTTCAGGGCCTGCTCTTCCATTCACCTCGGGCATAGAGGGGCCAGGCATCTCTTCCTGCTCATACCACCATATGGCAGATGAGGGGTGGGGCCAGATATCTCATGTTCTCATTCTCTGGCTGGCACACCTATTCCTCTGTAAACAGAGTTAGCTCCACTGTGCTGACCAGAGAGGGTGCACGGGCCCCTTTTCCAAGAGTTGCAGCTGGTAAAGTGAATGCAGGCTCTCTTTATTGATAGAGGCTGTTTGTTTGGAAGGGAGGGCAACTGGCCCTACTCTCAACACCACACTGCAGATGAGGAAGACAGTACCAGCTATGTTTGTCTCATGCCCTCAGGGCTGGCTCACCTGAGCTCCTGTCTACAGAGTTAATTCTACTGATCTACCTAGGTGAAGTATAAGACCCTCTCTCCCCAGTGCCTTCGAAAATGAGGGGCAGGCCCAACTTTGTACAGTCCTATCTCTTTCTGCCATTCGTGGTATTAAGAAGCAGGGACATCAAAATAGACCATCACTTCATCAGAGCCAGGAACCCACACTGGTTCCCAGTAGCAACTCAGGCCCAGACATCACCATGGCCATAGGTGGCAATTAATTCACCCACCTCACCCCACTCTCCACCTCTTTCATCTGTTGAGGTATGCTCCTGTCCAAAGAGCATGAACCATTCTGTGTGGGTCTCTCTCCCATACCACACTATATATTGCTCACTATAATAGTATCCAATTGACTGGTGTCACAAGGTGCTAGGTGGGCGGGCCTGTGTTTTTCCCTTGGAGGCATTGCCCCAAGCCTGTGTGTGGGTATCCTACTCCCACTCAGTCTGACATGGATCTGGGAAGGACCATTCTCCCTCATCATAAAGAGGTCCTAAATGTGCCCAGCTGCCCGGTCCCACTCCTGGTTGGCACAGAGTTGTTTATGCAGTCCTCTCCTGGACATAGAGCTGGAAAGCCAGGGCTTCATTTGGTGAAGTCCCGCCCTCCACAGCAGAATAGTGTGGAGTGTAGCTGTTGCTAATTTTTTTATTCTTTACACCTAAGGAACTCTCTTCTCTTTGTATACGATATTTTATTTCCATGTTCTGAGCCATTAACATCCTGAAAATATAAGTTTACTCCCAGGAGTGGGGCCTGGATAAATAGTGTGTAGCATGTGGCCAATAGCATAGCACTACTTTGTTTTATCATCATATGTGCTTTTTAATAAAATATAAGTTTTAGAAGGAAGAAATGAAAGTGCCAAAATTTGAAGAACAGATATGCTCTGAGAGCATCGCTTGGCTTTGTTAACCTGAAGGACACTGGTCTTACCATGTTTTTTGAACTGATGTTAATTACGGTCAGTTGAAATGAGAAACTAAAGGTACTACCTACACAGAATTGTTTCAAATAATTTGAAGATGACAGAGATGAAACCAGAGACCATCTTGAACTAAAAATGGCTATGTTTAAAAAAAAGTCAAGATTTCACTCATCTCATGGCTAGACTAATATAAAGATAATGATATTTCATAAAAATGTTTGAACCTGTGCAGTCTCTTTACATGACACCCAAAAGTAGAATTCTGCTGCTCCCTACTCAATCTGTACCTCTGAGAGTCATGAAAGGGAAGATCTGTAGATATATGCCCATGTACAGGCAACTATCTGGAGCAAAGAATGAGATTGATGGGCATCTCTGTCCTCTGGATAAATCACAGGTTTATTGGCTATGACACTGCTAGGAAGGGGGTTGTGAATATGGGGTAATTACTGGTTTGTGGAAAACAAATGACAGGCAGACATTTGTGCTTCTTCTAAAGCATAGGTCTTGGATATAGATGCCTGGGAGTGCACAGAGGTCTTCAAACTTTGAAGTCATGCTGTGTGGAGAGCTTGCCTTCTTTGGTACTGTTAATTTAAGACTTTCTGTTTGCATCCACAGAAGATATAAGATGAAATAAGTTGAAAAGTAATACATCCTGGCTTTTTCCCAAGGTCTTGGCTAAACCAGTATATTTCTGTGTTCCTACAGTATAGGTCAGTACTGCCTCCCTGGTGGGATATCAGAGTAACAGGGCTCAGATTCCTAAATCTTTTCCTTAAAGACTGGTTAGGAAAATAAAGACGAAAAATCCCAAATTTGAATCAAATCTCTTCCATTTCCAGTGAACTCTTGTCATGAAATGACATAAGCACTATTCCACCCTCTATTGGGTTCTAAGTTCTGAGGGTTTGTGTCAGGGCTGCAGGTGCTGGCTGCACACTGTGCATCTGTAGCAAAGAAGTATGCTACAGTATCTTCAGGCTGGGCAGCAGTGATGAACAGGGAACTGCTCTGGCTGGAGTTGTATAGGGTCACTCTTAGTGGTCCACTGTTTCTCTTTCTCATTTGAGTGTATTAAGGTTAGCATGGCAGGACCTCTGCCCATGTCCTGTTTGTACGACTGTATGGCAGCTATGGATGTTTATAACTGTAGTTCACAGTGACGTTTTCACCCTCCTGGATGCTCAAGGCCCAAGGATTCTCTTCTCCTTGCAGGCTGTTCACCCCTATGAAAAAAACACAGTACAGAGAACAGGACTGAGTGGTTACGTTTTCAAACTGCATCTCCAGATTAATAAGAAGACTTCATCTCACATGTATGTGGACTATTAATTTTGCTGTACCTGTAACCCTCACCAGAAACCCAAACTCATTTGTCAGTTGTGGTCCTAGTGTCATCCTCGACAATCCCAAGAGTCTGTCCATTCCTCCCAATGAAGAACAGGTCACAGGAGATACATCTCTGGGCCTGACCACCAGTTGGTTGGTTTCTGAGCATCTGCCCAGAAAACTTTCAAAGAAAGTTCAAACTCCTCCCTCCCCACCTCCCTTTTCTTCTCTCCTCAAACATCTCACCTACACAGTCCTCCCCTGCATCTCTCTGATTTCAAACCCAGTGAATTTGAGGAAAGAGAACCCCGACATCTGGTTGGGGATGGTGTTATTTGCATCGATGAGGGTCTAGAGCATTTCTGAAGTCTCTTTCCATGGGTTTGTCATGATGCAACCAAGGGTTCCCAGAGCAATTCCAGGTGTTAGCACAACTACCCACTGTGTAACTGCAGGATGATAGGGTGGATCCCACCCCTCATTCTTTTCTTCTGTGATTATTTCCGTTATTGTGTTCTTCATCCTTTGTCCATATCAGGAGCTCATTATTTCACTGAGATAATGGTTTATTGCTAGGTGATGTGTCCATTATTTCCAGGGATCTCATTATTCTAGCACCCTCATCTGTGTGCAATATTCCTTTAAAAGTTCCTGAAATGCTGATGTGGATATCATACACAGTTCTTAGTACACTTGGGATAGATCTTTATGCCTTAAATTTGCAAGGATTATTTTCTAGATACAGTATTCTGGGTTGATAGATTTTTTTTCCTTACATGGTATGAAGCCTGTCATTACAGTCTTTTGGCCTTTATGTTTGTTGTCTTAACTCAGTCCTCTCGTGACAATCAGCTTATTTTTTTTACTATAAAATTGGAATTTTGACAATCAAGGCATGAAGAAAGCTCTAATCTATCCCTTCAGTTTACTATCTGTGTCTCTGGATTGACATGACCCTCAGCATCAGGGGAGCTACTGTTAAAATGGACCAGATACTCGGAATCCAAAGCAAGAACATGGGCAGAACTATGCATGGAATGGAAACATAATTGATGGAGACAGATAGCACATCCTCCTAATAAGAGAGCCATGGAATCAGTGTACCAATTCCTCAGGAAGACAGGTATCAATCTTAATAAGAGCCAGCTATACCACTCTTGGGTACATAGCAGAAGAATATTACATCTTAACTATAGAGACTCTTGCTCAACCATGGTCTTTGCTGCTGTATTCAAAAGAGTCAGAAACTGGAAGCAACACAGAATAGATAAAGCAAATGTGGCACATTTATACATTGAAGTATTATTCACCCTTTTAATAATTGACACCATGAGATTTTTAGGAATATGGATGGAACAAGAATAATATATACCTGATTGGTGTATCTTAGACTCAGAAAGTCGTAGATGGTATTATTCTCTTATTGTTTCAGCCAGTTCTCACACTCTGAACACTGCTACTTCTTTTAGCCATCACAGGTATCTAGTCTTGTAGTGTGGTTGAAGCTCAGCAGAGCAATGTAGTGAGAGCTATAACTAAAACAGGTTCTAACAAATGACTTTCTCAATATACATTTGATGATTCCTTTCTCCTGTTTGTAGGTCTGTTTTGTCAGTGTGTTCCAGATATAACATCCAATATCTTGAGATATTAAGAAAAAAGAAATTATTACACAATCTAAGGGAGATCTATTAATGTATGAAAATATTTCTCTGTACTGATACATGATAAAATCAGAACCATTGAGTGAACTTGGGGGAAGCTTCAGTGAGCACCAGGGTAAATATGCTAAGTCAGGGGACCTTTTCAGCACTCAATTTAATAAGTGATGAATGGAGATACTTCTGTTGGCACAAACCCGTTATCCCAGAACTTGGGATGGTGAAACAGGAAGATCATGAATTTTAGGCCAGCCAAGCCTCCAAAATAAAATCCTGTCTCAAAAATAAATTGATGAAAATAGAGTAAGGCAACAAACGAGACAGTTAACTGAACAAAAAGACAATGTACAAATGAGAGAAAATCTTGTGAGCTTTATATCTGACAGAAGATTGAACCATTAAACAACAAACCAACCAGAAATGAGCTATAGAACTATAGAGCTATAGAAGAGATACAAATGGCTAGTAAGTAAAACATTGAACATTCTTATTCCTCAGTGAAATGGAAGTTAAACTAATTTGATACTTCATCTCACCCATTAAAAATATCCATCATCAAGTAATGAAATCACAGCAAATGCTGGTGAAGATGTTGGGCCATAGGGAGACTTCATTCACCTTGTGTGAAGCACAAACTGATGAAACAACTGTGGAAATCAGTGTGAAACATTCTCATAAATGTAAAAGAGGAAGCGTTGTAGGGTCCAGCTTTGTAATTCCTGGATACATATCTAAGGCACTCTGTATCCTGCCTCAAAAACAATTGTTCAACCATGTTTATTGCCACTCTATTCACAATTTCTAGGAAATGAAGTCAGCCTAGATGTTCATTAATAAAAGAATGAATGATGAGATTTTGGTGGAGATTTTATATTATATATTTGTAACACTCGAATGATGCATGGTGAACAGTGCCGAGGGAAACTGTGAGGGGCTGCAGGCGAAAAGGCAGAGGACCTTTTAACCACAGGTGCATTTTGTTCACTGACTGTTTTTGGACAGGATTTTCTGCCTCCTATGTGAAACATTTTATTCAATTTATAAGACGTACTTAGGTCTTCTACCTATAATAGAGACGTCAGATCATAGCTATAGAACACACTCTTCAGTATACCCTCAGTATGGATATACCTTCTACCTTGCTTTCAATATGTACTACATATAATATATAGTATGTGTGAGGAAATTGTGTTTAAATTGGTCTATCCACAGAAAGGTCTAGGAAAGGGCTGCTGTGTTGCCATTTAATATATGCTTATTGGCATGTATTTACATGTTTTATTGATCATATTTTGCTCAACACAAACAACCTTCTTTGGATCATTGGTTTCTTTGTTACATCTGTGTATAAAAGTACACTCAAACTTATATAAGTTTGTCTATATCATTAGACTGCAGTCTGCCCAATTATTTCAGGTCCTCAGAATCCATGTCCAAAAGAAAAGATCTGCACGTGCCATTTAGAAAGTCAACAATATATAAACTTATATGAAGATTATTCATCAATAAAGAAAAATGAAATGATAGAATTTGCATAAAAATGAAGTTGCAAATTACTTTAGAGTGTTATCCCAGCCTCAGAGACAAACACACGCAAATCTTTAACTTGTGGATTTTATCTGTATATATCATGAACTACAAGTGTGTGTAGATGTCAGGAAGTTAGACAGCTGCCCACAATAGGGAAAGGCAGCATTAGAAGTGTGAGTGGAAAGGAACAAAACACATGACCTGGAAGTGGAAGGGGGATTCTGGGAGAAAAGTGGTTTCCTTAAGAATGGGAAATAAGGGGACGGCAGAGGGGATTAGCATGGGGAAGTGTCAACCAAAAGTAAATATGTATGAAATTGTTCTAGAGAAACCAGCTAGTTGATAAACATGTTTTTCAAAATTAGAAAACAAATACTCTTTTAATTGAAAGATTTTAAATGGCAAGGCAGTCAGAGTACTGTAGAGTTGACGGTGGTCTTTATGACATGGCATATGGAGATTCTCATAGTCATGTGCATTTAGTCCAGCTCACCCAGATTGGCACATAAAGTGTGTGTACATTGTTGTACAAACTTCAATGTGAGAGAAGAATGGAAAATATTCCATCTAAACCAATTGTGTGCCTTTCTCTTTAGGACTGGTCATTTTCCAAATGTCGATTACTTTCCTAATCAATCAAACCCTCTCTACACTTGCTCTTATTTCCCATTTAACATAGAAAAGAAACAGAGTTTCAACAGACTGGTGTGTGCTCTATCTAAGACCTTCCTGGGTCCCAGTGGGGTTAGGTGCAGCCTGCAGGTGCCTGGAGAACACTGTGTGCTCACTGCACACAGGTCGACAGCTGAGTCACTGGGCTGCGAGTCTCTGATGTACAGGGATATATGCAGGCTGGCTTTATTGAGGTGAATTGTAAATCTTCCTTCTTCCTTTTCACCATTGGAGATGATGGTCATCAGAGCCTTGGGGCTTTTCCCAGGATACTGTTTGTACCACCAGAAGTAATCAGTATTATGATTGCTGAAAGTGCTGGTGAGAGAGGCCATGGCACCCTCAGGGACACTGAAGGATACTGAGTTCTGCTGCACCTTCTGCTGACTGCTCATGCCTGTGCAGAAAGACAGAGGTCACACAAGCAGGACTGGATGCATATGGATGCTAACTTCCCAGAAGGGCTTTTCCATGGGTCTCCCACCTGAATTTGTTGCAGCATGAGAACATTGGTATTTCTCCCCTTCATCCTATAACATGTGAATGCAACACCCTCACTGAATGTATTTTCATGTTCCCATAGAAATTGTCAAACTCACCCCTCACTTGAAGCCAGAGCACCACTATCGAAACATTTAAGTGATGAATTATTGTTTTCACTGAAGATTCACAATTCAAGCATAGCAAAAGGACTGGAATTAGGGAGTTTAAATTCTTCTGGTGAAAACTGGATACAAGAGAAAAAGCCCAAACTATTTATCCAATTAGAAAGAAGGTCCTAGTTTTCACTGCCACATCCAAAGCCCTCCTACTTCTCTCACTAACCACCCCCAGACACAGATGCAAAAGACCATGGGAGAAACAGAATCTGGATATCTATGAAGATACTGCCATCATGTGGATTCACATTAGTTCCAAAGAAATATCTTAATCAAAGACTCTTCTTAGGTAAACTATTAAAACAAGCAATAGTATAGTCAGATAAAAGTTTAAGAATTCGTTCACATTTATGTATGAGTATGTTTATGCAAACATTTTTCAGAAAATGGCAACTTATTTTCAGCAAATAAAAGTTATTTCACTAGTCACTTTTCTGTAACAATCAAATAATGATTTATGTCATCTATTTTCTGTGTCAACTCATACAGCCCTCCACTGTTCCTTCATCATCAATATTAAGTTTTCTGTAATTAAAAAATCTTTTTAAAATAAAATAGCTTTAAATGTGTCTTAACAAACATGGCTCTAGCTCACAGCCTAGCTATGTTTTATTCATGTATCTGTGTATTTATTCATTCATTTCTTTTTGTACATGTTATGCTGTGTTTGTGTTGGTGTTTGTGTGCAGGGGTATGTGAACTCCTCAGTGTACTTGTTGATAGGTTAGAGGTCAACATCAGTTATTTTCTTTGATTACTCTTCACCTTGTTTTATTATATAAGGCACATTAAAAACATCCCTAATCCCCCAATTAGAAGACAACTGTCCTGAATGTCCCTGCTGCATAAAAAAAACGCTACTCTTCTTCCCTGCCCACCCTCTCTCATACACAGACACAAACACAGGCTCTGGGTCTCTCTGAACCTAGACCTTATCATTACAGCCTGGCTTATCAATGGACTACACGGACTGCAGTGGTTAGGTCCTCAATAGTACTAGGGCTACACAAGTGGGTGCAGTTCTGGATAGTATTGTGTTCTAGGTATCCATACACAGTTCTTCATGCTGGTGAGACAGGCACTTCACTGATTGAGCCATCTTTCCAGGCTCTTTTTTTGATTAAATAAATTTAATAAAAGCTATTAAATAAAGAACAAAACTACAAAAGATTAAATCAAATTACTACAAAAAGAACTAAACAAATCACAGCAATACAATGCCTTTTTGCCATTGTCCAGGATCCTTGACATTTAGTGACTTATTTCCCAAGTCCATTTTAGATATATTGCCTTTTATACACAGTTGAGTTACTATGCATATATTTGAAGTTGCCCAGTATTAGGGCCTATTTTGTTTAATATTTGAAATAGTTGAAGTTAAAATTAATTTAACTGAGTTATTAATTAACCAAATTACCAAAACAATTTTTAACACAATTAACTTTATTTATGTTGTTTCTTCTTTCTTTCTTTTTGTATTTTTTTATATTTTATTTTCCAGTTTAAATTTAGATAAGAAACGAGGTTGCTTCTCATGTCAGGTCCAGGTCCCTCTCCCATTCCCTCCCTTCCTCCTTTGCCCTCCCCCCAACCCCCCCCCGTTATCCCCTAATTCCCCCAAGGAGGATGAGGCTCTCCATGGGGGTGTTCATAGTCTGTCATTTCATATAAGGCAGGGCCTAGACCCTTCCCCAAGAGTTCAGAGTGAGAGTGCAACTCATTTTGTTCTATGGGAGTCCAAAGTCCGTGTGTATATTGGGATGGGTACTGATCAGCTGCCCAGGGCTCAGTAGATTCCCTAGGCCTCCTCACTGACACACAGATTCAGGGGGTCTTGATCAGTCCCATGCTGGATGCCCAGGCTGATGCCTGGGATTCAAGAGTTAACCTTTGTCTGGTCAGCTGTTTCTGGGGGTTAAACCAGCCCAGTCTTAATCCCTTTGATCATCAGTCCTCCCTCTCTGTTACTGGTTTTCTTGAGTTCAGCTCAGTACTTAACCAAGGGAGTCTGTCCAGGCTCTTTTTTTTACTTGTACTAACTATAAAAATACTGTGCTTATTGTAATATTTTAAGACACAATTCACTACCCATTTCCATCTTTTTCAATCATTTGTGGACAGCTGAGATAATTCCATATTTGGTTAATGTAAACAGTACCAAAACAGCATTATGTGCACATATCCTTATTGTGAACTGAGTTTGATTCCTTAAGATGCACAGCTAGGCGTGGTAAGGCTGGGTTATGTGGAATTTGTATTTTTAGTGGATTATCAGTAATGAAACTCTATACTGATTTATGTAATGGTTTCACAAATTTATATTCTGATCAACTACCTCCAAAAGTTCACTTCTCAACATGTCTACAAACATCACTGCCTTTGTTTTCTTTATGATAGCCAATCTTTTGGGGCTAAGATGGATCTTCAGCATAGATTTTATTTGATCAGCTCTTTCTTCAGCAAGGTGATAATAAAAGTGCTTGCAATTCTCCATACACCAGTAACAAACATCCATGGCAGGGAAGGCAGTGATCACCTAGGGAGCATTATATTCCATTACTGAGACAAACAGAGAAGACAACATCCTAGAAACACAAGATTGAGCTGTGGTAAAAGCAAAAGCATAAGCTTTATTCTCTGGAATGGGCCGGTACTCAAGGCTAATCAGCTAATTAGTCTTTGGTTATGGAGCTTTATTAGGCTTATGTGTCTTCTCTCCAATGTGAGTCCTGTTCAGGTACCCGACCCCTTGCCTTCCCACCAGTTCAACTCAAGGTGTCTTCTGGGAACAAGAAGTTGACATCTCATGAAGTTTACTTTTGCATTCCCTTCTGTCTATACTCCTCTAACTCTTTCTCAGCCACACCCCTCAGAGATCAGCCACAACTGTTGCCAAAATTGGGGCCTAGATTGCTCTAGAAACTAAAACTGTCCCTCCCATATCATGCACTGAAAGTTCTTTCTTTTGACAACACTTGTCAAAAATTTTGAAGCACTTAGGAAACTCCTGGCCCTAAAATACCTACTGAAGGAGAGGCGGGATTGTGGGGGAGTATGGGAGAATGGGCAGGAGAGTGAACTGGGTTTGACATGTGAAGCAAGCTATTTAAAATTAAAGTAATAAAAAAGTTTAAAAAAACAAATCCCCTTCGTAAAGAGAAATTCATTTTATAACTTCTGTAAATCTAGACATCCCTAAGTAACCTATCAGCCTTGTAGGGAGAACAGACTAGATTAGTGAGTGTCTCATAATCAACTCAGCTAAATTTCAAATGTCCAATTGCCAACTTTCCTTAAACTTAGACTTCTTCAGTTGCTTTCTCTTCCTCCATTTCCTCACAGAATTTGTTGGCATGCATTTTTTCTCATATTTCTGTGTATGGACTATTCTTGGGCAGTGCTTGCAAAATTAGTGTTCAAATCTGCATGGCTGAAGTACTGAAAACATTCTGAAAAAGAAAAGAGAAATCTCTAACTTTGCAAGAAGGAGGTGCTGAAAGGCAACCCCTGTGTCACAGGAGAGACTCCTGGAAAGGAAACCCCAGCTTTGGTCTGTTCAGGGAGAATGAATGAGCAAGGAGTGGAAGGCTGTGCCCTGTGACATCAGCAGTCCCATCTGGAAATTCTATTGTGTCCTGGAGATCACTTGGAATCCCATGATGTCACTTGGGTTGTAGCAACACTGGCTGCCCTTAGGACAGTTGTTCATTGCGTGTAAGGTCATATATAGAAATGTTTTCAAGACGCGAAGTATATTTGGGAGGAGGAATGGACAACATGGAGAGACCAGAGTGAGGAAGAAGGAAGCAGGACCTAGGTCTCACTGGAAAACATGGTTCTGGGGAAGACACCGTGAGTTCAAGGAAGGGACTGGGGGAACTCTGTGTGTGACAGCCTTGAGCCTTCCAGGGATAAGTCTCAGGAACTGGGAGCTTCTGGGAAGCAACAGACATATCCTGCTTCTCTGGTTTCCTAAAGGATTCACCCACATCAAGGATTCATGAAAATTGTTTAGACAGAGTCAGGATTTGACAAGACTCTGGTGTTTGTGCTGGGGATCCTCTGTTTTCATGGTGAGGGGAGAATGAGGCACAGGGGAGTCAATGAGATTTCAATACCTTCACTGTACTTTGCCTCCACTGGAGCCTGATAGGTTGCCTGACAATGATTAAAGGGAAAGAAATGAGCCTTGGCAAAGTGTGAGTTTGTTATGCTTTACATCACTGCCACTAGCAGGGCTCAGCTACAAAGTGCAGCTGTCTTACAGTGACCCCTAAGGTTTCCATTTTTCAAGGTATGGTGGCACAAAGGTCTCCAGTTAAACTGAGAACTATTAGAGACCATGAACAAGAGACTGCCCCTTAGTTCAAGCTCTGGGTATCCTGGGCTATTAGTAAGGATGGGTTCTGAGTCAGGGGACTATGTTCTGCCACTGTGTAGCTTCTCCATTAACATGAGAGTCTGAAGCATCAAGTAATTTATATGGTCATGTCTTATTCTACATGAGTGAATGTGACCGTAACAATTAGCTCTAGGCTTCTTAAAGCACATGACTGAAGGCTCTAAACCCAAGGTACATTCTCTGCGGCTGTGAATAAGATTTAGGAGTCTGTACCCTGGGTCACCTGGTGCAGGGATACAGAAGAAAGCAGGTAACTGTTGAGACATCCCCTCCCTATAGAAATAACTTGCATCCACAGAGGTTAAGACACAATTCTAGTCTTTCAGAACCTGCTAGGGTACAGTGTCATCTATCAGTCACTTCCTGAGCATCCTTCATTGTGTCAGATAGGCCTGAGTTGAGGTAGTGTGTAGGGAAGGTGCTGTCATTTGACTTCTAGAATTGGGTATTACTGAGATACCTAACCTTGTCTAACATGGATGTCAGTGTGATGTAATATAGGAATGGATTTATTTTACCCAACATTACTCATTTGCTTTGTGGTTCATCAAGCAAATGTTGCAAGCCCTATTCTGACCTCTGGAGAGTTTTCTATCCA